CTCCTTATTTTATACATTTAAAGGAAGCATAACATGGTAACTGGGCATTTCCAAGGGCTTGTCTGCACTGCAGATATAAAGCGGTTTGATACCACTTGAACCGCCATGGCTCAATGCTATGGGATTTTGTGGTTTTGTGAGATATTTAGCCCTCTCTACCAGCTGTGGTGTCGCAACAAATTACAGATGTCAGGATTCTTGGGAGATGGGAGTCAAGATTAAATATGAAATTCATTTATGTTTCATGTACACCTTATAAACATAGCCGGAAGGTAATTTTATACAATATTTTAAATAATTTTGTGCATGAAATAGTTTGTGTATGCTGAATCATCAGAAAGCAAAGATGTCACTATCTCAGCCACTATGTGGCCCATTTTGGATTATGGAGTATTTTGGATTTTGGAATTCCAGATAAAGACAGGCTCAACCTGTATTTACATATTTTAAATGAGACACGTGTTGTTGTTTTTCTAGAAATTCTTCCTACTATTCCTAATAGAAAAGGACACTCACCAAATTTAGCATCTGATGTCAGCTTTAGGATCTTCTCATACTGCAAGAGAAACACCCAGTCCCAGTTCAGTCCATTTTTCACAAAACCTTGGAAAACTCAAATACTCTTTGGGTCTCCCCACAGTATCTTAAGTCCTCCATGGATATGGACCCAATTTATACATGATCTATTGTAATACAACACTTTCAAGGACTGGTTCCTTCATCACATCAATATAATAATAATAATAATAATAATAATAGTAATAATAATAATAATGTGCAAATAATATTAATGTGCATGTACTGGGCTAGAGACAACCAAGTCTACCCAAGTACTGAATGTCAGAGTAAGATCAAAGACCCACGTCACTACAAAAATCATAGGACAAGTCGTTCCAGAGACTAGGACTCTGGAGATCAGGGTTCGATTCCTGCTCAGCCATGAAATCCACTGGGTGACTTTGGGCAAGGCACATGCTCTCAGCCTCAGGGGAAGGCAATGGCAAACCTCCATTGAACAAATCTAGCCAAGAAAACCCCAGGATAGGTTTGCCTTAGGGTCGCCATAACTCAAAAAAGACTTGAAGGTGTACAACAACAACAACAACAACAACAACAACAAATTAATTAATAAAATACCCTCAAATTTGCAGGACTATTGCTACACTATAATGTTTTTACAAAGTACTGAAAGAGATGAGTGCTGTTAACCTACACTAGAAGTGACACACACATGGTCTTCCAGATGCTGTTATACTGTGACTGCCATCATCCTCACCCAGGTGATGGTCAAAGATGATGAAAGGGACAGTCCAGCAACATCTGGAACAGGACAGTTGCTTCTAATTCTTTTCCTGACCCTTTCACATTGGGATGACAGTTTGCAGGTAGCATGACTATAACAAACATCCCAACGTCAAACCGTGAAAGTGGTAGCCATGCAAAGATTTCTTTTGGAAAAAAACATCTCTTGCTCGTTCTCGGAAAGTGTGTTAGTAATGGCCAGGTCCTGTATGCAATGTTGAAACGGGTCACGAGAAATTATATAATAGATGTAAATTAAAGTGTAATTTAGATTTAAGAGTGATCTGTTATTCTAGATAATAAAAAATAATGAGGATATTTAGAAAGTCAGATGCATGTTAAAACTATATATTCATAGTAAAGGAAGGGAAGTTATTTTTATGTATGTCTTTTTTTAGTAATTGTGTTTGTAACTATGTATGCATAGATGTCATATATGTTTTATGTTATAATAATAATAATAATAATAATAATAATACAGAAAAAATTAAAAGACCATTTCTTGGATGCATGCCTTCACCATGAGTTTCCTAAGACTAACTGATCTTCTGCAAGGGTTGCTTCTATACATATATGGTTTAAGTGACAGAAAATGGACTTACATCAATCCCATCCCCGAGCAAATCCTTCAGCACCTGGGCACAGATCAGCTTCAGTTTCACCGAGGACTAGAACGATAAAATAAACGAAATACGAGTCAGTACAGTTTTGCCCAAAACACCAACTCCTTCATCATGAACCCCATGCGGGAATCCTGGGAAGCGATGTACTCCATAGCATCCTGCCTCTTTTAAGGGATTACAGACAATGCTGCCTGGATAAGGATAATCTATCCCATTATTTCTGCCCCGAAGGACAGAAAGGATTGTATGAACATAAGCCGACTCCTTCAAGGGTGCAGGAGAAGTGTGCAGCAATGGAGCACTGCAATAAATATTTCCAATAATAACACAGCTATTGACTATTGATCGACTATTGAGTCCTGCAGTGCTGGTGGGGGATAAAAGATAGATCAGGGCCTAGTGATAGATATCTGTTTTGAGCAGACCAAAAATAATTTTTGACACCCAGGCTGCATTCGCACTTCAGAAATAATCCAGTTTGACCCCGCTTTAACTGCCGTGGCGCAAAGAAAATAAATCCTTGCAAACCTGAAGTCTGCCCTGCTCCACTTCCATCAAGGATGGGAATTATGCAGGCCTCCCGATGCTGTTGGACTCTAAGTCCCAACATCCCTCGTTAATGTAGCCAATGGCAAAGAATACTAGGAGCTGTATTCTAAAAGCATCTCGAAAGCTAGAAGATTCCCATCTACATTGACTGGGGAATGTCTTGCAGTCAACACATCCCAAGAGAAATAAAGTAAAGGCTGAGTATCCCTTATCAGGAATTTCAAAATTCAAAATACTCCAAAAAAACATTTTTTTTGTTCATGGCTGAGATAGTGACACCTTTGCTTTCTGTAATAATATTTTTATTCTATTATTTAAAAAAATACAACTTCACCATCACCACAATTATCAATCAATTACTCTGACAATATTCATTACAATATTCTATTTCTACAATGTTACAATCATTGCAATATTTCTCTTTTTTTATCGTTAATCTAATTCTAAATACCTCATTCCGCATTCATTATCATCTCAATTCTTATAACCCTATTAATCTAGCTATCTTATTGATTTATCTGAACTATCTATCATATCTTTCTCCTTCTTATTTTCTTCTTTCTATTTCTCCCTCTTCTCTTCTCTTTTCACTCACCCTTTAAAATTTATTCCAAAATCCAAAATATTTTAAAATCCAAAATTGTCCCCATGGGTGGCTGAGACAGTGCCGCCTTTGCTTTCTAATGGCTCAATGACACAAACTTTGTTCCATCCACAAAATTATTTAAAATATTGTATAAAATTATCTTCAGAGGTTATGTATATAAGGTGTATATGAAACATAAATGATTTTTTTTGTTTAGACTTGGATCTCATCTTCAGTCTCATTTTATAAAAGCAAATATTCCAAAATCCAGAAAAAACTGAAATTTAAAACATTTCTGATCCAAAGCATTCTGGATAAGGGAGACACAACCTTGTACATATTTCATGAAATTTCACTTACGATTTTGGCCAAAGTGCTAATTTCTGCCAAAACCCAATCAGGACAGTCCAAATCGCCGCAGAACCGGAACCTCTGGAGGAAAGAAATAAAATTAATGTAGCTTGTCTTAGCAACCTGAATCTGCGTCTATAGCAAGAAACAGAGATTTTTAAATTAGAGATTGGAATTAATTCAAATTAACCGTAAGACATTCCAATTTTTTTCCCATTTGACAAAACACGAAATCAAGGAGCCAAATTTTGATGAAAAATTCAAACCAAAGCCATTTAGCATCCTTTTGCTTGGACAATTCGAACAAAACATTTCACTATTAATATGGGGACAAATGTTTGCAGACTTTGGGGAGGCAGAGACACTGAAGTTTCAAAACCTAAAATGAAATTGAACTTTAAATGAGCAATTTTATGGACTTGAAATGAGCAATTTTATGCAAGGTAGTGTTGCATGTTATATGAGCCAGCGTGGTGTAGTGGTATGAGCATTGGACTATGACTCTGGAGACCTGGGTTCAAATTCCGACTCCGCCATAAAAACTGAATGGGTGGCCTTGAGGAAGTCACACTCTTTCAGCCTCAAGAAGTCGTCAATGACAAACCTTCTTCTGAAGAAACCTGCCAATAAAATCCTGTGATAGGTTCTGACCATACGTCAGAAATGACTTGAAGTCACACAACGACAACAACGGTGTTACATATTGCCCTCCCATACTCACCTCCTTCTGCTCTCTCTTTTCACATTCACAAATACCTGGAGCTAAGAAAACCACTTTTTAATAGATGTCTTGCTTTGTTCGTTATCTCTAAAGCTGATCTCTGAAATCCCATTCTTATAAATCGTTTGCAAGCATAAAAGCACTTTGCACATTCCTAGGGACACTTGTGCTTTTTTGCAATTATTGCTTATGCTTTGTAGTGCAGCTTTACCCCTGAAAATAAATGTAGGCATTAAAACTGTGCAATGATACCCCCACTTTGGTACTTGTGTTGCATTTTCACTAATGCATTTTCCGGATGCGCTACTTGGGTGCTTACTTAGAAATAATGCAGTCTGACACTAATTGAAGTGCTATAACTCCATCCTATGGAATCCTGGGATTTGTAGTTTCCACAAGCTCTTTAAGCCATCTCTGCCAAAGAGTCCTGGTGCCTCACCAAACTACAAATCTCAGGACTCTGTAGGATGGAGCCAGGGCAGTTAAAGCAGTGTCAAACTGCATTATTTCTACAGTGTAGATGCACCCTTTGGCAAAGGCGGCTATAGACCTTGTAAAACTGCAAATCCCAGGATTCTGTAGGATGGA